AAAAGGGAAACGTAACATGGAGATGCGGGGTATCGATCCCCGTACCTCTCGCATGCTAAGCGAGCGCTCTACCATCTGAGCTACATCCCCGACGCTGTTTGATTTGAATACACATTATAATATTTAACTTCTCAAACTAAGCCAGGGGGCTTTTCAGCCTTCGTCTCCTTGGCTCGTCACCAATTCGCATCTCCTCGCTTCCCCGCTGTACTGTGTCATGGTAAGCGCGATCTACTCTGCTCTCATCATTTACCTTCTATTAAAGTTAATGGCATACAATTTGGGGGTTTTTGTTAACTTGATTTCTCAAAATTTTTTTTTCGAAATTTCCATGATATCCATCTTAAGTTAGTTGCTGCTTTAGATTTTGAAACGCTTTTGGGGATCTCAAATTTTTCGTTCTGAAATTTGCAGGCAAACGCTCTGCGATTGTATCTCAAATGCATCCGCAACACTCTCGAGGCTGCAATGTGCTTACAGGTTTCCTTGTGTTGAATTTTTATTATTTCAATCTAATTCTGCTTTGAAAATTATTACGCTTGTTATTTACTGCTTCTACCAAAACCCTTGATTAGAAATTTCGTAGGTTTGTGATCTGTGGGGGTTTTGGTGTATTCTTTAGAAAAAAGTGTGGGTATGGAGTTTCAAGATGAAACTTGGGTGAATGGGAAAAAAATTGACTAGAAAAGAGATCATAATCCCGGAGAAAACTGACGAATGCTAAATGATTTCCAATCATTGAAGGAATTTTAGGAGAATAATTCGGTTTGTTGTTGCAGGTGGATGATAAGATCTGTACCAGTTACGGGTATGGAGTGTCCTTCTATGAAAACTGATTACGAGAATACGGGAAAACGAGAAATTACCAAAAGGCATAAGTTTCAAGTAACTTCAAGTTGGCTGGGAATTTTACTGGAATCATACTACTTGCCACGAGAAATTTGATGCCTTGTGATGAGTTGCGAGATAGATTTTAAGTGGCTTCGTGATGAGATTCTATGCAGGAGAAGAAGGAATTTGTGCTCGAATGCTTTGTTTACTTTGGCACTTAGAGGCCTTCACATTCTCAAAGGTTGAAATTAATGGTGATAATTGATCATAATCTTCTGGCCTCTTTGGATGTTAAGGAACATTCTTTTGTTGACCTTTGTTTCTACATTTATCATATCAGTGTGGACCATCACAGGTTAGGCTTTTCAACGAGGGTTCAGCTCTGTTGAAATATAGTAATCCCTTTTTTTGGGGGTTGGGGTGGGGGTGGGGGTTTAATACCTTGTTACCAGATTTTATCTTAGCAATCTCTTTAGAAGCTAGTAACAGGTGGTATGTAATGCATGGAATCCCCAAATGACGTTGTGTAAAAAGGATGCAGAACTTTCCCATTTGCAATTAGTTCCACCATACCTATACTGTTTCGAGAAATACTATGGTGATATCTGGCCAAGAGTTTTGTCTTGTTCTCTAAGGGCCTTTGATATATTAGAGAAAATTCTGTATTGCAACTTTATTAACTTTGTTCTATTCAGTTTTCTTCCATGCATATGAAAAACATATGATTAGAGTCCTAACTGCTAAGCTAGGTGCTCTTATCCATAGAAACTAGATAAAATAGTGTATGTATATGTACATGTATATGTGTGTGTGTGTCGATCGAGAGAGAGAGAGAGAGAGAGAGAGAGAGAGAGAGAGAGAGAGAGAGAGAGAGAGAGAGAGAGCAATTTGAAGGAACTTGGTACCAATCACAAGTTTTTGTGCTTGGTAGTTGGTAGTGAGATGATAATCACGTGGACAGATCTGTTCATTCCTCTTTATGTATTGTGATTATGTACTGTTTCTTACCTTTTAAATCCTTTTAGATGGACTGGTACTCGTACTCTGGTAGTGCTTTATTCACCTTGATTTCTTCTCTTGTTTATGTCTTATTTTATGCTTATTTCTGTTTATACTGGAATTGCTTTTAATTTAACATTTCACAAAATAATTGTCTATTAAATTGATTGTCTTATCAATAACTAAAATTAATTGGGTGTAACTTGATTACTTCACAGAATTTTCCTTGCCAAGAAGTTGAAAGACATAACAAGCCAGAGGTTGAACTGAAGTAAGTACTATCAACACTATGCCTTCAATATGATTGTTTGATCATAACTTCAGATTGGAGTACTTGCCTATTTCTAGCCTTTACCATCCATTAATTAGTTCGCACCTACAATTGTCTCAAAATGACCAAATTGTGCATAAACCTTTTGCTTCACATACTGGAGGGGTGAAAATGTCCGAACTCCTTTGAATTCTTCAGACTTCAGAATTTTAATTTTAGCATCATCTATGCACTGATGGGAATGTTTAAATATGTTTAATTGCATCTTTTTTTGGTCGTAGTGTTATAAAAATATTTGAAATCTTAAATGGTCCATAATCAACATTCTAACTAAATTTGCTAGGTAAAAAATGGGTCCTTTTCCCCTTGTTCTGTTTATAGTTCTATATTTATCTCTTTATTACTGGGTTTTTTGGCTATATAAGCCCAAATCATCCATATTTATTAAAACAGCCCCCAAATATTCGACATTGAGCTAGTATGTCCCCAAAATGAATATTCTCTCAATATATTCCTCATATTTTTTGTTAAGTCACTTGGGTGCATACTAACTTAATGCTGAGGACCTGGGAGGCATTTTAATGAATATCAAGATTTGAGGGGCATTATAATAAATATCAAGGTTTGGGGGTGCATTAATAAATATTGATGATGTTTATATAATTGTTCAATGAGGGAGGGGACTAGTTTACATATGTAGGTAGGTAGGAATATTTTGTTTAAAACTTTTATCATTTAATGCTTGGTACTGTGATCTAGGTTCATATCTACCCCTCCTTCCTACCATCCCCCATACCCCACACCCCGACTCTCTGGGTCTGAGTTGCTTGTCCCAGATAACATTTGTTTTTTTACTCGAATCTACCATTTGCATGCTGTAACAGTTCCAATCTTTAATCTATTTTAAGTGCATTTTGTTAAGTATCTCATAGTCCTTTTATCTTTTGCAGGACCAGCCCAGAACTCTTGTTGAATCCAGTAAGATTTTGAGACAGCCTACGTACAAAGTACTTTAGAGAGCCACATTCCTGAAATTCCTGAAGTTTGTGGATTCTATTTCAATGTATTTATAGAATAAGTTTCTTTCTTAGATGTGTCGCTGTTCTTTTCTGTTTTAAATATATTGGCATTTTGCAGAACTGAAAACTTATCGTTTATTTTCTTTGTAAAGTTGCTTATTCCTTTTTGGACTCATGTCCATCTTTCAGTTCTGTTATTAGGTCATTTTCTCTTTCTTGGGTTTGTTGCCCTTTCTCTTGGCTTTGACCTACCTGTCTTAGAATTAGTCTTCTTTTCTTGAAGTTATACTTGTGAGTTGTGACTGACATGTGACTCAGGTAACTTAAAGAATGGCCCTTAGACTAGTTCCCTCTGAATGCTACTAGCAATTATTTAACAACAAACATATCGTACTAATGCCGAACATGATCTAGTACTCTTTTCGAAGTTTATGTTTGTTATCAAAAGAACATGATCTAGCAATCTTTTCGAAGTTTATGGTTGTTATCAGAAGTGTTAACTTTCTGCACCTATCTGCTTCATTTGGATATTCATATACTTTTATCTATGTGACAATCTATCTGTGCTTTTCAACCCTCTTTCCTATGTTTTTTTAGCTCCACAATACTCTAAATCACAGAGAACTTTGTAAATCTGTGGCACAACATTTGCAAAAGATCATTTTTGGCATTTGGGAAACAGAAGAATGCATGTGTATGCATGTGCATGTATGTGTGCTTTTAGACGCTCAACTTGAAACTAGTTTGTTTGCGTGATAGTAAAAAGAGACCTTATTACTTAGCACCTGTAATTAACTAATCAACAGAATGCAGTTTGCTTGAACCTTCAAAAGTCAATAGATTCTACATGTGAAAATCTTGAACTCATATATTTTTGTTAAAATGCATTTTGTCCCATACTATTTTGCAGGTTTTGATATGCCGAAATGAGGCAGAGAAGTGCCTGATAGAGACGTCCATTAATTCTATTCGTATTAGCATGAAGGTACATTTCCAACCACTTATGATATTTCTTTGTTGTATAAAGTTGCATGTCAAACATTTAGCTTATTTGATGGATTGCATGGATGTTGGCTGGAAAGTGAACTAACAAGGAAATGCACAAAAAAAAAACCGATGTACAAGTTTAGATTAATTCAATTCCAGTGGTATTCGAAATTATTTTATTGTTTAATGCTGGTACATCAAGTTTTAGTTAGTTTACCATGTCAAACAATTTAGTCATGCATAATATGTTGACTATGACTTTCAAGATAATTTTATGCACTAATATGTCTGGATGGGTAATAATGGGGGAAAAAATTCATGTAGCATGGATTACACCATGTATAAAGGAGGCTTAGTAGATAGCTGACCTTTCTGAGATTTCCTGTACCATGATAATATCTGCAACCTTGAAATTCATAAATTTGTTGTTTGCTTCTTGCATGCATTGGACCATCCTTTCTTTAGGTGATTGCAAATGAGTCTCATAACAATGTCCAGGTAGGGTTAGTCATCTTTATTTTAAAAAAGAATAGTATTAGGTGAATGTACAGTGAGTAAGACATGCAATACAACTTCCTTCTAATCAAGAATGCTTGGACTGTTGCAGACATTTCACTTTGCTGCAACCTTCCCTTCTATTTCCTAGACATTTTGCAATATCTCAATGCTTTGCAGTCAAAGTAAATTGCACCCATTTTACAGTAATCTTGATGGTCCTGATGGTTTTTTTGGTGGTTACTGTAACATCATTACCATAGGCAGGCAGACTTGTGTAGAAGTTACTGAGTTTCTTTTTGGCTGTTGCTCATTAAGAGTTTAATAATCTAATAAATTGTATTATGTGTCAGAAAATGTCTCTGTCTAAAAGCTAAACCACAAATTATAGAAATGCTCCTTTTCTATTGTAAGTTATGGGAAAGAACGATTTTTCATTAAAACCTGATCAGTTTGTTTCAAATCCAGCTTTATGTGAATAGATGTTTAAATGTCTATGGATGATGATTAATTTTCTTCACTATTTTACCATGATCACTTCATGCTCCGCTGTTTTTCTGTTGGGTCAGGAGTTACATTCTCCCTCATTTAGCAACATTTGACTTATGCCCGTTTCAGCTTTTAGGAGCGAGTTCTCAAGTTTTGATCTCGTAGCTACGTGCGTAGTTTATAGCTGACTAGAAACTGCTGACTCTTGATGCCTTTCTCACTTAGCCTAGACAAATTTGAGGTGAATTTGAAATGCTTTCATGATCATGTAAACTATTGGATAATGCCTACAACTGTACTTACTAATTACCCATGATAATATTCACCCAGGTCAGACAATCAATTATTGCCACAGCACTTATGGAGATAGAGACAATTATATTTTTAAAGGTGGCGAGAGCTCTGTATATCTAATTAGCTAAGTTACATGGGTATGGGTGCAGTTGCATGTGCGGGTACAAGGACAGGAAATTTGTAAAAGGTAGGGTACGGGACACGGCTACACATACATACATAATAATAATTTACATGAGATCAATATTATTTTTTCATTTAATATGTTATGAAACAAAACTCCTATAACATTTATATGTTTCTTTTATACAATCAATATTATTTTTTCATTTAATATAAATTATAAAATTGCTTTTTTTAAGTTGATATACAAAAGACCCTTTATAATCACAGTTTTGAACTGGGTACAAACTGAAAAGAACCCAACTTATGTCCAACGTGGTTTAAGAATTACATGTGAAGTGTAGATAGACGTCCAAGAAGTGTACGACGTGTGTTTTAAATTAAAACATGTATTATATAACTGAGTATACATTTGAATAAGTGTATGCAAATTTCCAAGGAGTGTCCATTGAAGTTTCGGTGTTGGGTATGGGTACGGTACGAGTACTACACAACACGACACAGGTATGGCTCGAAATAGAAGTACCCATGCAACATAGCTAATTAGTCTTCTCAGAGGAGGAATGTTTCCCTGTCACGTATTCCAGGTTCATTTCATCTATTAATCCATCTAAGCTGTTAGGAGAGAGTTTCAAATACCTAGATCTTTCAAGTTCGTGTACCTTTTCTGCATTTCGTGTAAGAACTTCTAACTTGTGATTTGGTATCTGTGCATTCAAAGAGAGAAATTCTGTGTAACTTTAGTGGATAGCAAAAAGGTGTCCACCAAACTTTTTTAGCCACTCATATTGCCTAGGGATCCTTGCATGATATCTGAAAAGGTTTTTTATATTAATAAATGAGTGGCTAGGAAGTTTGGTGAACATCAACTTAAGTTGATAGTAGGTCTCTCTCTCTCTCTCTCTCGTCTCTCTGCGAATATAAATATATGTATATATATGTATATATATATATATATATATATATATTGAAGACATGTAAAATGAGGATTATAATAATATAAATTATCATCTTTTCAGAAAGAGAGAATGTAAGCTATTTTGATTAAAGAACATGATCATGATTCTGATTCCATTAAAATAATCTACCTGATTCCAAACTTTAAAGTCCTAGAGCTTGGTGTGGAAAATTGCAAATTAAGGCTATCAATAAAAAAAAGTATAAATCTAATTATAACCAAAGAGCTGTATAGGTTAATTAGTATCCATGAATAAATTAATTTCGTGAACCTGCCATTTACTTTAACCTTTATACAGCTTAGGATAAACAACAATGACACAGCTTTTTTTTGTCTCTTTGTTTCTTAATGCAAACATCTAATATCAACAAAATTTTAATGTTAGCTTTTGGCTTCTATATTTGGTTGTTAAAACTTAAACTTGTTTGTGTTTTTTGGGTGTTCTATACAGGTAAAGCAAGCAGATGAGCTTGAGAACATACTTGCAAAGAAGTTCCTTAGGTTTTTATCCATGAGGGCGGAAGCATTCCAGGTTCTCAGGAGAAAACCAGTACAGGTACTTTTATGCATGAAAATAGATTAATAATGCACATATTAAAGCCCAGTTGGCCTAACAATATGTACATTACTCATCGCATCAATTAATTAATGGCGTGTCTCTTCCAGGGGTACGATATTAGCTTCCTAATAACAAATTACCATTGTGAAGATATGCACAAGCACAAGCTTATAGACTTCATTGTGCAATTTATGCAGGTATGTTCTTTTACTTTAAAAATGTTCTCTTTTCTGAATTGCATTGCTTTGTTAATATCTTTCATTATTTGTGGAGAAACATTGAAGACCTCTGTCTATCGGTGTTTGTGTGAATAATTGAACCAAGAGTAAGTTTTAAGCTCATAATTTTCATTTAGATCCATATACGGATTCCATGCTTCCTTGTGCAAACTCTTCCACGCTCATTGGATTGCAGTGAAGTGCAATTCTATCATCAGACCATGCATGAAATCTGATGTACGTTGATGCCTGAAGACCTTAAACCTTGTTTGTTGTGTGGAAAAAATTTTGCAGTAGCTGCTAGTTCTCAAATTGCTCGTAGTGTTCCAATCCCCTAACTCTGTTTTCTTCCTCCTAACAACTAATTGATAAAAAATGTAAAAGTAGTTCCGTATAATGTATGTGTGCATTCCCTTATTTGTTCATGTGCATTTATTTCTGCAGAGTAAACAAGTTTTTAGCTTTGTAATGTGCATGTGAGCGCGTGGATGATAAGTTATGCTTCAGTTTACTTTCCACTGTAGCATTGAATGAGACAAACTCGCACTATTCATAAATTTTATCGACTAGAACTGTGAATGAAACAAACTTGTATCATTCATGAATTTTCAAGTGCATTGAAGCCTAAACAATTCACGCTGGTCAAAAAGATGGGTAGCTGCTAGTAGATTAATTGTTAGTTGGTAGCTATGACTGCTGAAGGGTAAATAAGTTCCTCACTTGTTTTCTTTCTGCTTACATTTTCTTGTTAAGGATTAAAATTAAGCTGTGTTTTTTCAGTTCTCCTTTAGAGGCCATTTGAAAATCAACATTCACAAACTACAAGGCCTGATAAGATGATTAACAACGATTTCTCTTGGCTCCAATTCTACACTCTTTTTTCTGCATATTTCAATGTCTTAAGTGCATAATATATATAGTGTAGTTCAAATAGCCACTCAGTACTTTTTTGTTCATTTTGATATATATTTTTTTAAATTTCTAGGGGGGCTATTGTCAACCTCTAGAATTAGAAACTTCATGTGTTTAATATTTAATCTTTGGAAGATTTAATGCGATCCTTTGCTAATATCTTGTGATCATGCTAATCTCATATTGCAGTCCATATGAGATAGATGATACTCCATGTTAATATTATATGAAAGCTCTTTCTCAATTCAATACAATGCTCAGTTCTCGCAATTGTGAGCTGAAAATGCTCTAAATTCTTGATCCTTGAGCCCTGATATCAGATAAAACTTTGTAAAATTGGGCCAGGATTGAAACTGACCCAATTTTGTGTTGTTTCTTGTTTGTCAAAATTCTGGGCTAAATCTGGCCCCAAATTTTGTGCCCAAATAGTGTCACTAAACTAGTTTTGTTTTGGACCATGAGGGTTTGGTTCAAAACAAAACTAGTTTAGCACAAAACTAGGCCAAAACTGGTCCTGGCCCAGTTTTGCTCCGTTTGCCAAACTCACCCTAAGTCTAACTTTATGTGCTTTCTTTTCTACTGAAAGTTGTAGTTACTTGATCTCAACTGCTGAAGCATAATCACATTCAGTGTGTTACTTCATTTGGGTTTTTTAGGAGAAGATGTTGAGAGATTTTATGTTAAACATGTGAAGCCTTTCTTCGCTTGCAGTTGGTCTAAAGTTTGCATCCCACATTGTTGACACAGTCCACAACACTTTAATTCTACATAAACAAGAATTTAATGCGTGAAAGAATATATTTGTAGTATGTTAATGTGGAGGTCGTTGTTAAGCTAATCTACAACTCAAACCTGTTGGCAAGGTGAGGGCCAGCAAGTTAGCAAATACAAAAATGAAAAACTTTCTGTATTCTTATAATTTTTAATTCTTCAGCTAAGAGAATTACTCTGAAAGTCATTATAGACAGACGTTAAAATTCTGGTGTTACTTTAATTTGCGGAAATTTTGTACTCTACAGGCAACCTAAAAAATATAGTGATTGTCTGCAAAGAAGGGACGTATTAGGAAATATGTTCCGGTGCTATCACAGTTATGTATGTCATCCCACTACCTTTCACCGTGGTCTTTGAATTGTTAACAGTGCTTGCTAGTCTTCCATGAGATTAAACAATTATCAAGTGAGACATGATGAATGAAAGTGGAGAAGCTAGTGTTGTCAGTCTAGATGCACTCAGGGAAGAATAGTTTTCATAGAACAGTGTCACATAGGTAGAACATAAGTAGCATTGAGTAAAATACATCTAATTATATCAGCATAGAGCATGCAGAGGTGATAAAAAGCATGTTATCATCTGGATATCTCCCAGAGGTGGGAGTCCATGTGTGTGTGCTTGCATTTAATCCAGGCGTATATGATATAAGAATCTAAATCTTTGATCATCATACAGAACTCTATATTGTCCATATTCGTTATCATATAGTTGTAAGACTGGATTCCTCAGTTTCTGAGTGAATCCAACATAAAATGACATGCTACATAGTCCGCAAATGAGCTACTTAGAAGAAGTGACAGTAGCATATCTAACGGAGCAACGAGGATGTAGAGGTAGGCTAAACGACATGGATATAAAGTTGTAAACAACAAAAATGTATAACAGCTGTTAATTTTACTAAAGAGATGACTTCAAATGAAAAATTGGAAAAAAATTGAAAAAATTTCATGCACCTGAACCCACTGGGATAAGCTTTATGTTATATTTTAAATTGATGCAGTTTGAAGGTGGGTATAGACCCATAGAGGTAATCCATATCCCCCAAATGCATTTAAACACATGTACATGCCCATTCAGTTCTTTAAGCCATTTGATTTTTGGTCATAAACATACTATCTTATGATAAAAGTTCCCCTGGATATATTCAAAAGTTTTAGACTAAGATCCAGAGCAGCATAAAAAACATCTGCATGTTAAAAAGTTTTACATTTTTTTCCCACTTTATCTTGTTCACATTTATGGCGTTTTTAACTTGAATTGTCTTACGATGTAGGATATTGACAAGGAAATCAACGAGTTAAAACTTTCAGTGAACACACGTGGACGCCTAGTAGCGACTGAGTTCCTCAAGCAGTTTGTCTGAAGTTTCCTTATTTGATATAACACATACAATACATATACATGTAACATAAGTAGGAAATGGTCAATTCACAAGCCTATTGTTCTTTTGACAAGGATGAAGGATAAGTTACTGAAGCTTATCAGGTGTTCATGACACGTTTTTGTTGGAGATTCTTGTGTTGTAACTTCTTGCTTGAGTTGTTGGGCAAATGCCAGATTGTCTCTATGCAAACTGAAATGCACCAACTAAGATGAAAGTTACATATTTTGGATTAGTCATTCATACAAGCTTCAGCGATGTCAGAAGATTCTCAAACAGAAAGTACTGAATCTATGTTGTATCTTTACTTGTATCACACCCGATCCAATTATACAAGGATAAGCTTTAGGCCAAATCCATGAAAGTTAATGGAGATAAATACTGCTGTCTATCATCATCCATCCTTATTTCTGGAGACTTTTCTTTGGCTTATGAGTCATAGGCATTTTGCTATTGCATTGGTGCGCTTAAAACTGTGTGTTTCAAAAGATTTATATAACTGTTCTTTCTTCAGAAAATAGAGAGTTCTCAAACTCGCAAGTTGTCAAACCTGGTAAGTGCTCCTTAAGCCCCTAAAACTGCCATATCAAAAGACTGAAAAGCAGTAAAATTTCCTTCATCTCCCTTAGCTTCCCAATCAAATAGAAAGAAATTGTTTGAAGAGATACATTGATTGTGATGGTTCTTGAAGGCTTAGAGTGTCTGCCAAGCCTTTGGAAGATGAGCTTGGGGTCGTTCACGGAGACAAGATTTGAATCTTTATACTGATATCAACCCCCCCACCCCCACCCCACCCCAACCAAACAAAACCGTTGCTTGTTAATGCTTTCTCCTTTATATTCTTGGATTTTGTATTGAAAAGGCTTCATCTGCATGTCTATGTCCTTACAAGTATACATGTTTTTCCATAGTCATTCTATGATGCTAAAAGGAAATGATGGTAGCAAGATGCTTAACATCAGTATCACATTTCATACGCTAATGTGTGATAGACATTGGTAAGTCCAAATGACAGTCATATTTTGGATTTAATATGATAAGGATATAGACTCTTATTTCTAATTTTATAAGTGAGAGCCATCACTTTCAGCTAATGGTTTTATCAAATACAACGTAAATCTGTGTGATAAAACTTAACTTTACATCTAAGAAGAAACAATATTTGGGACAAATATAAACACTTAATGATGCCTACAAGGCAAAGTTAGTCTTCATAAAGAACTGAAAACCTGAGATAAGTGAAATAAGATTTTTTCCGCTTCAGCTTTTGCGTTCCAATCTTTATAAAAAATTTTGGTGTACTTGAGCTTGTAATTTTGTACAAGGTTATAGAACCACATACAATCTGATATCAGATCAAATTTTAGTATAAAAGATCTGTACTCAGAAATATTACATACACCTCATCAAACATTAATGAGATCTTCTTTTCAAAAAAATAGTGTAGAGCCAAGAAATTATCACCATATCACAATCCAGAAGCAGCCTTAGATGCTTCTTTGAATGCCTTAATGATCTCCACAGATCGAACTCCATCCTCAGTATAGACGATGAGGGGGCTCTCACCAGGAACAATATCTTCTCTTTGGTAGCTTCCTGCTGTCCTCAACAGCTCTTCGGATCCTTTCTCCACAATACCTTTCATGATAACAGTCTTGTGGGACCCCGATATTAACTCTTCGTGGTCAGTGTCTCCTTTCTCTCCAAGAATCACGTACATGTTTGTCACGCTCAGGCCCCAACGCACAAATAGATACCTTGTATGAAGAAACAAAGTTATATATATGCGTGTTTGGTTGCGCGTTGTTGAATTGGAATACAGTGTTGGACAATCATCTCCTTGTTTTCAACAAGTTTTCATCAAGTAGGAAATAATTTCAACTAAGGCGATGAATGTACATCCAATATAGAAGGCAACTCAATTTGGGACCATGCATCAGACATACTACAATATTAGTTTAAGCTTATGAAATAGACCCTCTGGCTCCGAAGAGCTTGACTTCAGATGTAATGGATTGCCTTACGAAGACACTGACGTATGAGGGAGGAAATCAATGCTGGTATAACGTGTTGGCTCAAGTCGAGTGAATTCAGGAAAAAGTCATTTTCGAACATCAGAATGTTTGAAATTGAAGATGAACTGAGTACCTGAACATTAATATGCTGATACTAGGAGTCGTAAAATTTCATACAAATATCAGAAAATACCTGAGTGCTTGAGACCGAGATGCCAAAAGAGGAATGACTTGCAACCGTGTAGAACTCCTACAGTACATAAGATGGCATCTGAGACCACGCATCCGAAGCTTCTGACGTAGCTCATCAACTGGTCTTACCTGAAACAAGCATACCATAAATTTCTTAAATATTTACTATTTCCATAATTCTACAAGAAATCCACATTAAGTTAGAATATACCTTGGTTGAATCTTTAATCATAAATGAGATACAGTGGGCATTACTCGCTGTCAAATCCTCAACAACAGATTTACCCTGAGAATTCATCAATTTTGCTATGGTCCTCTTAACTCCATCATAACCCCAACGATATTCAATATGTGTCGCGTAATCTGGGTCTGCTCGAAATTTTCCCTCGGCATCCAAAGACTGAGAAGTGCCTGGATAATAAACCTCGCTCCCGCTACTGCATATAATTGCATCAAATTCTGTAGGCTGTATTTTCCCCAATTTTAGAAGCTCGAGTGTCTCAGAAATAGGCATCGCAGTTGAGAGAGCAAACCCTGAAATCCTCGACATCTGAGAATCTGACTTAATGGCTTTAAAAACTTCTTTGATCACCTCAATCATTTTCTTCTCAGGATCTCCTTTATCATTATAACAGTCAAGAGCTATCACATAAAGCCTCCGTCGTCTTCGAAGAAGAGGGTATTTTGGTACAACAAGCCCTGAACTATCTGCCTTTTTAGCATTATTAGTACCCGAGGATTCAGGCAAATTCTTCTTGATTTTGTTAAGGATCCGTCTAACTTGGTTTTGTATCTCTGGATCCCCTTCTGTTGCTTCATCAAGTTCATTTGAGTCAACAATCTCTCCATTGACAGAATTTTTCTCCCCATCGATTGATAGCCTAAGAGAAGACTCATGAACATCCTTTAAGGAATCTCCTAGAGATTCCTCAACAGCAACCTCATCAGTAGGAGTGTCAGTTTGCCACTGAGGATGCCTCATTCTACAAGCTGCTACTCTTGTTAGATAAGTGCGACAATGCTCAGGCCAAGAAAAGCGATGGATGTTCTTCCAACCATTTTTCCTGCATTCACTCCATAGATTCTTATCTGCAACGAGCTTTAAAAGTGCATCGGATATGGCTTTTTGATCATGTGGGTCTACAAGTAGTCCATTGTTCAGTGCCTAAAATAAGCAACATGAGGAAAAATTACATTCATGAATATATTATAATGTCCTATGATTTCAGGTAAACAAACACCAATTCTATTTTAAAATAGAACTGGAAGAGGTTTAGCAGTAAATTCAACAAAAACTAATGGTTCAAAAGTTCTCAAATTAGCATGTGAGTATCACATGGAAACAGTCAGGAGAAAATTTCCAATGTTTGCATAACAAAAGGTACTAAATTACTAGCCTATGGTATATAAATGCTATGAAAAGATCGTGAGGGTATATAAATGCAAAGAGAGCGAAACTATATGGCATTTAAGTGCTACTTAGCCTATGCTGTATGAGTTACAGGAAGATAGGCATACCCGCTGAATATCGACAGGCCCACCATTTCTGGTGGCTACCATCGGAAGCCCATGAGCAGCTGCCTGCAAATTTTTTTCCCAAAAATCTCAAACTAGCAGTTCAACCCGAAACTGTACTTTGATAATTTAATATAAAACAAGATTCACCTCAATCAAAGTAAGACCAAAGGGCTCGACTAGTGCAGGATTTATAAAGACACCCTGCAAGAAAAAACAAAAGGAAATTTTAATAATTCCAGAAGGTTAATTTTCGAGCATCTAGTATATTTTTTATCAGCTAACCTTTGTTTTTGCAGCGAGCCTGTATATTTCAGGGACATCAGATTGGTTATGGTGCTTAGGGTATGCCACTAGTCCATACAGATCGTATTTATCGATCAGCTTTAGAACGGTTGTGAGAACATTGGCATTGCCTGTGGACATCTCATCTATGTCGTCTCTGTTTCCCATTATCAACGTCTGAAAGGAGATGCAACTTCAGAGGTAAGTGAAAGATTTGTAGAGGGACCTGTCTTTAAATTAATGTGCAGTGTTATCAAAAAACTTGTATAAGGTTTTGGCACCTTTTCTTTTTCATCTTTACATACGTTCAGAAGAAAGAAATAAGGAACATGGGTAAGATTATAGCAAAAAGAATGCAAACAAAGAAATCAAACAGAAACCCAGTAAGTCTCAGGTATTAGATAGCCATGCAAACTTTTCTCAGTTCAGGTTAATACAAAATTGTTCATAAATCCAGACATTTAGAAAACAAATTCCAGATTACAAAAACAGTCACAGAAAACAACCACGTGAATCCAAATCAGCAATATTATTAGTATACTAAATATTTGCATCATCGCCATTATTTATTTACTATCACAATATCATTCATCTTAACCGTGCTTTGCCTAAAATGACAAAATTAAATAACCTTTGTATGCATAAGACTAATAAGGATATTTATAAGTAGTTCAGCGAGCTAATATTAGACACTCACTTCTGTGTATAAAAGACATAATCCTCTCTCTGCACAAAACTTAGAACCTAAGGTTATCATTAAAGGCAGTGCTGTGAAAAGGCGTTCTACTTAACTTACACCAATATATACATCCATCTTAATCTGACAAAATATAGGAGAAATTTTCTATATTTTAACAACGAATTTTAATAAGCGGAGAACTAATCATGAAAGTTCACATATACAGTTGCAAGCGAGTCCTTACGAGATTTGCAAGGTTTCTCAATGGGCGGCATTCCCCAAATGCTTTCAGTAGTGTAGTGATGTTCTTTTTAGGGTCAGGCCTTGATAGAGCCAGGATCATTGGCTTGTGAGGATTTGTAAAGAATCGCATCACCTGTGATAGGTGTCATCTCAAGTTAGATTAAGACATGAATGTTAAGCTTCTTCAATTAAAAAAGTTCCTTACCTCAGACCAAATAGGTGGAACTGACTTTGGAGAACTTATAATTGCAGCCAGGTCAACATCTGCTTCAGCTTTTTCTTCCTGAACCACGACATTGCTAAAATCCATACCAGGGGGAATAACCTGCGAGAATTTGACTCAAAACTGATTCCATGAAATTGTAACATAATCATGGTTCAAGAGCTAATTGACAGAACTTCTTATAATAATTTATTAATGACATTGTTATTGTTTACAAATAAAGGAGATGTCACATCCAGAGTTGCCAAAGATGCACTATTTGATAACATGTTCAAGAAGAATCCAAATTCCAAAGAATCCAAATTCCATGGAATCCATACTTTAAGGGCAGATTTTGGAAATAGACCTTTTAAATAGTTATTTACAATTTTTGATCTAGTCCTAACTTAATTAGCATTTTCGACCTAGTTCATGAAACTAGGTTGAAATTGGTGAATAGAACTTCACGGAAATTGGCAATCCCGTGAAGTTTAAACATAGAAAACTTCACGAGATTAGCAATCCCGTGAAGTTTTAATTAGCAATTTCGACCTGGTTTCATGAAACTAGGTCAAAATTCCTAATTAAGTTAGGACTGGGTCGAAGATTGTAAATAAATGTTTAAATGGTCGATTTTAAAAATTTGTCCTACTTTAAAACATGTCATGGAAAGTTACCCAATCTTTGAGAAAAGGAAGGGGCAGATATAAAACACAGAAAGGCATTGCAAATAAAGATTTTAAAAAGCTCGCTGTGTAATCATTTCAATTCACCAAGTTCAACGTCATCCAAATTAGTCAACATTTATATGTTTCAATGCCACAATAGGATGTTATTTGTAACGAGTAGTTTTACGAATGACTTGTAAAGAGTGTATCAGAAATTACCAAGTAGTTGCGTAGTCTTTGATGTTTATGATTAATAAATTGTTTAAAGTTATATGTGAAATAAATGATGCAAAGAAATGATGCAAAATTCGGGTGATCAATAGTTTTAGCTTGAAAAAAATATAAAAAATGAGCTCAAGAACTTTATAGACACAATAGCATATATAGATGCGTTATATTACGAAGAAAACATAAATGAAATATAACTTACCACCATCCTTGGCATATAACGACCATGGGAACTGACCCCGCGTCTAAGACGAGCCCTCAAAACCTTCTCAAGTTTAACATCGAATCCATCATACAACCCCCATTGCTCCTCAATCTCTTGCTTAGTACTTGTAATAACAAGCTCAGAAGCATCCAACGACAACTCCTCAGCTTCTATCCTCCTCATTATCTTATAAGTCGCATTAATATCCTCCTTCGACTGACGTCCTTGCTTTAAAAGTTGTTCTAGTTTATTTCTTCCCAAAGAATGACCAGTAAGAACCATCGGCACATTTAAAGCACCAGAGAGCAAAGCAGCACAATCACCAGCATCAGCATAATGTCCATGGATGACATAAGGCCACACTGGGTGCCCTCCTCCAACTTGCTCTCCCAACACCTTTGACATATTTAGAATGTGAACTAGAGCTCCATCAACAAATTCTTGTACATATGGCCATAATAATTCTTTTCGGAGATATTTGTCTTGTGGCCCACATGGGATTCTTATGATATAAGCTCCTGCACTCTCTCCTGCATCGTTTCCTTCAGTGTCATAGGAGCCTGAGGTTAGCATCTCTGTTGGCTCACCATAGCTCCAATCAACATCAGGGGAAGAAATTTGGCGAGTGAAAAGATCTACTCTATAAACTCCTGGCATCATCGAGAGAGCTCGGGCTAGTTCCACAACGTATTTTATCTGGAAGGGATAAGAGAATTAAAACTTATTGTACAACGGTAAATCTTAGGTAGATTTATATTTCGGGTTTTTCAGTATTAGCCCCTAAATATTTCATATTTGAAATTAGTCTCTCAAATCATTGAAGATCATCATTAGATTCCCTAATTCTTATGTTATTTTGAAGTAAGTCCCTCAAATCATTGAAATTGTTAATAGGTCCCCTGATTCTCATAAGTAGTTTCAAATTAATCCCTCTAGTCACTACTTCTACTCTTAATTGAAGGAACAAATTTAAAAATAACTTGAGAATTGGAGGATTTAATAACTATTTCAATGATTTGAGAGACAAATTTCAAAGTAACTTAAGAATTGGGGGACCTAATAGCAATTTCAATGAGTTAAGGGACTAATTTTGAAATATGAAAGATTTAAGGTACTAATATTAAAAAAAATCCTTTTTGTTTAAGTGAAATGCTGATATACCTGTCCTCCTGTGTCTGAGTCACGACCAAGCTCCATGTTTTCTCCACGAACAAGTCCATGCAAACTAAACAAGAAGAGCATAAAAAGGATTTGTAAATTAAAAAAAAAATCAATTTAGGATAGCAATGTGAGAAGTACTAAACCAATTCTTATAGTGAAGTTGAAACTATGATAGTTTAGAAAATGCACAGAGATTTGGAAAGTTATTAAAAATATATATTCTTTAATTTCGTATACTCTAGTGGACGAACTGACTCTGTATGCAAAAAAATATTATATCCATAAAGAGAGGATCCTGAAATTGGAAGAGAATGAACAAAGCTATCAAAATTTATATCAATTGAGAATTGGTATTGAAGTTTGCCAGTTAATATGTGCAAATATAAATAACAAAAGTCACTCGTTTGAACATTTGTACTTGATGCCAATATAAGTAGCACGAGCTGTTTGAATTAAAAATTAACGATTAATTTTTTTAAATGATTTTAATCACACAGCTCTGATGGTGCCAGAAAATTAAAGACCATGTACCTTACAAGAACAACATAGAGCTTCTTTCCCTTATTATCATCAGACCAAACAGGGAGATCAGAGAAATTCCTATGAATCTGTTTCTTCGGTGTCTCACTCTGAGCCAACTCTCCCAAATTGTCTCCCTTTTCACCCTCCGACAAATCTTCTGACATGTCCTCAGTGGCATCTCTCCGCCCTTGTTCCCGTTCCCACCTTCTATTTGCAAGCCTCTGGAGATCTTCCCACTCCAGCTGCAAAGTTTCCCATTCAGAAAAGAAAGAAAATTAAGAGTCATCTTAGTTGGAAATTTTTAAAGTTTTAAAAGGGTCAAAAAAATTTCACTCAAGGGGTCTACCTGCAACAATAGAAGTAAGGAGGTATATCCACAGTCGGGATATAATACAGTGGGTATATCCGCAATTAACTCTAAATATATAACAGATAGAAAAAACAAATGTAGAAACTAAAAATTATGTGCCTGAAACCAAATATTTAGGAAATTACTCAAAACATGTCCCTGAGACTGCTTAGGAGAAGATTTATTTCTGATGCTGCTCCTTTTATCAGCCACTTTTTTCTTAAAGATCATAGCTCATATTAGTTGAAAAAGATCAAGGAATATAGATGTTAAATAATCATATAGCCACTTAGTTGCTTGCCACTTCATGACTTTTCAAAATGTGGCCCTAAAAATAATTCAATACCTTAACATACTCTCTTTGAGAAAGAGAGTGAAGTTGTAGCGAAGATACCATGCATTTAAGCGTATGATTCAGTTTCCCACAAAGAGATTTTTTTTCAACCATTCATAGAAAAAAGAATTGTGGGATGAAAATCCCACCAGTGTTTAATTATTTCATGTGGTAGGACAAAAAACACAAAATTCAAGATAAGAAATGACGCAAACCTCCAAACCCAATATATGTGTTTAATTATATTCATGTGGTCCACAAATGAAAATTAACTATAAGCAATATATGAAATCGGGGTTCTCTTCACCTTTAACTGTAAAGCATAGACATCAGAAAGCAACACTGAAACTGGAATTAGTAATACTTATGTCATCTTTGCTAATCTACAGTTATTTGTTTTTTTTGACAATAGCAATGATTGTTTCTCTACCTAAGAAAAAGAATGAGAATGCATGTATGTGAAATAAAAATTGTGGCTGGCCAAGGCCATGGTCAATTTCTATATAAAAAGTTTCTTGATTTCCATGCTTAAAAATTGAATAGTCTAACATCATTCATTCTTATGTAAATCAACATGTTTAAATAATTTATTTCATATCTGCCAACAGAAAAAAAAATCCCATTTATAAACAAAATTAACATGACTTCTGAACAGCAATCAGCTTTTTTTTCTCTCCCTTTTCTCTTTTTTTTTTTTAATCTGCATCACCTTTCCTTAGCTCCTAGAAATTCAAGATTATATATTGTAAGTACACCCTTGTGCTACTTACTGGTGCATTGCAAATATCTTAGGAAAGAAAATAACAAATTTTGAAAGATAAATGGTTAACCTGTATATCAAACTCTTGCGCTACTTACTGGCACACTGCAACTATCTTAGAAAAGAAAATAACAAAATTTGAAAGATAAATCTATAACCCATATATCAAATACAATCAGAATTGTATTGAATCAGAAATATATATTAAGAAAAATCTAAGACTTCTCTTCCTCTTCCAAGAGGTAGTAAATCAGAGCCAATTCCCAAATTTCTACAGATGCTTCATTTACTTTTTAACCCTTCCCCTCTAAATAATTTCATTAGTAAAACCAACACATAAAACAAATATTAAAAAAGATCTCTAGAGAAGGTGATGACACAATCCAAAACTAGCTCCTCTGACAATGAGTAAAGCAAATTAAAAGGGATAAAAACAAAGAAAAGAAAAATTGCAGTACATAACACCCCAAAACTTAAACTACACACACCAAACAGTTGACAAAAAAAAAAAAATCCCAAGAAATGAAAAGAATTAAGAAATTGAAAACAGAGTAACTAACCCAACACCACTTTCACACAGCCTCCCATCAAGATTCAATCTTTCATGAGCAAAGCATCAATCAACCCAAATCAAAACCGACCCATATCATCAAAAACTAATCTTGACAAAAAAAAAAAAACAAAAACCAAAGCAAATATCAAAAGCAAACCTGCTTCTTTTTTCTAGCAAGGTGCCAGATTCTCCAGCACATATTCTCCAATCTAGAGCTCCTCTCCCTCGCATTCCTCGTGGCGACAACCTTAATCCAAGTCCTGTGGAGATCAGTCTCGTCGACTCCCTTCACCACCTCCTCAACAAAGTACTTCGTCGGATTGAATCCTGCGCTGGACAGTATCGCCTCCAGGTACCCATTGATCCACTCGTTGCCTGCCATCGATGCAATTGTATTGTATTTTCCCCCCCCTAGCTTTTGTTTGTTTGAAGGGGGAGAATTGAGTGAGGGGGGCTTTTAAAGGTTTAAAAGTGGCTGTGGTTTTCTTTGGCTCCTCCTCTCTGAGAGATAGAAGCGGGAGAGAGACTGGAGAGAGGGAGGAGAGAGCCTAATCCGTATTTGCAAATTTAATCTCAAAACCTCCCCACATTTGTTTTTAGGGAAAATTTGCAAAATAGACTATTTTTATGAAATATATAGCGAAATAGACCATTTTAAAAAATAATTAGCAAAATAGACCTCTTTTAAAAAAAAGAGGTCGATTTTGAAAAACAAGGCTCAGAAAACATACGGGACTACTAGTCCCGTATGTTAAGAGCCAACTAATCACGGATTAGTGACTCAGAAAACATACGGGACTAGTAGTCCCGTATGTTTTCTGAGTAGAAAATTTCACTAATCCGTGATTAAAACATACGAGACTACTACTCCCGTATGTTTTCTGAACTGTTTTGCAAAATAGACCTCTTTTTGGCCTGTTGGCAAAAAAAAGTTTATTTTGCTAATTATTTAGCAAAACGGTCTATTTTGCTAAATAATTAGTAAAAACGGTCTATTTTGCAATTTTTTCCTTTTTGTGTTGGCGTGAGACTGAGAGCCGCGGGGCGACGACGCTGTTGAAGGCCGGGTTGATTTTGGTTCGGTTATTTCGGGTTCCGTTTAGTTTCAGGCCCTGATTGCCGCTGAACTTGTCCCTCGATGCCTGTGTATGTTAATTTTGTCTCATTTTATCTCCTAAATTATTACTGCAGATCCCGTAAATTATTACCTCGGGTCTCTGCCCACACTATCAATTAAACTGTACGTAGTTGCCGCATTTGATCTCTGTTGGATGACGTACGTGATGACCTCGGTATCAAGAAATTAGTCCAAAAGCGTAAAATTTTTGAGGGTAAAAACCATCAAGACGTTTTTAGAGTTATCACATAGTTTGGATATTTTAACTGTTACGTCTCTAGTTCAGTAATACACGTCCTCCGCAAAAGTCTATACGTGTTGGAGCTGTTCTACTCCTATCATCATATGAGATCAAATATGTGAGAAAGCTAGAATGCCGTGTGTTATTTGGTTTCTTCAGATTTAATCCTAAATATATATATAAAAAAATTAATAGAACAGAACATATCACTTAGTCTAATAATTGGTCACGTAAATTTTTCCAGCAAAACATATGCACATCCCTATTTGTATGTGATATATATATATATATATATAATTGCAAATTAGGATACTATAATAATGCCCAAACTTTGAAGGGAATTCCAAATGACTATTGCACTAAAGGTATGACAATGACTAGAAGTTTTAAATAGTTGTGATATTATGCGCCGGGGCCAGCAATTAAGCGCGACATAAGCCGTCAGACCCACTGAAATTCTCCAATCTAGACTTATCGAAAAATTGATAGAGTTTGAAAGGATTTAAATGTTGAGTCTTGAGAGTTAAGTGCAACAACGATTAACCATTTTTGACATGGATCAAGCTACTGCATGCTACTGGAGTATGGAATGGTGAGTAGGACCATGAGTGCGCGTCCAGCCATAATTTTGAATGAACGAGAATCGGAAGAGAAGATATCTCCAAACTTAAATTTTTTAATGAACGAGTATAGGAAGAGAAGAGTACCTCAAACTTTTTGTTAGGTTAAGGTTAACGTTGTAGGCGTCTAAAAATGCCTATAGGTTCCCGCACGCGGCTCGAGACAGAGAGAAGATGATGAACGTCACTATCCGAGTCACATAAGCTTATTTGACGTCGACAAGCGCATGAAGTGAGTCGACGAACCGTGTGAAGCAACGAAACTTCAGAATAACGAAAACACGAACTGATCGGGAGCTACGCTTCTTTTACGAAACACTAAGCACCCCTCGTGTCCCATTTACTCCACATGTAATTCAACCAAGGAAGCTTGTAGATCTCCTCGTCGGCTTTCCTACGCATTTTGCATCGCGTGATTCCGAGTTCGGACGACGAAGATACGGCGAAAACGGACGGGACGTACGAAACAAAGCCTAGAGCGGAAGCTAAGACACCGCAAGTGTCTCGGCCAAGGCCAAGGCACCCCAAGTGTCTCGGCCACGGCCGAGACATCGCGGGTGTCTACAACCCAGAAAAGTCGGTTTTCGCTGTTTTGAAGCTGTTTTCACCCGGATTTGTTCTAACTGATCTAAATATCATCCAAGAACGTGATAAAGTGGTTATAACTGAAGATAAGAGTGAATCGGTCATTCTTATCCAAAAACAGAGGTCCCAAAGCCTATAAATACAACCCTAGGGTCTTCATTTGCACAGATATGAAATTCTCGAGCGTCGACGAAGCCCTGCTGAATTGAAGACCGAAGGAGCACGAATTTCAGAAGAGAGGAGGAGATCGGATCGGATTTTTAAGCATAAAGAAGAAGAGCTCGTCAGATCTACAGTTCCCGATTCCTTCCCTTGAGATCGTACCTAGCTGTGATCTCGAGAAGAGTGGTTATCTCGCTGTTATCGAGATAATCACTTCGGTTTCTTAATTCCTTCGCGAATAAACGAAGCACCGGATTGATCTGATCGTTTGGTAGTCCACAGATATCAACGTCCCCGTCACAGGCAAAGATCACACGCAAGCAGCGGAAGATAAACGTCTGTTGCCTTTGTTTGAGGAAATTGTAGCTCTTAAAATTTTATTGTGTAAAGGTCTTATAAAAAAGATTATTTCTTTTTAAATTTATTGTAACTTCCAAAGTTGTACTGGATTCATCAATGAAAACAATTTTCACACCAAACAAGCTGGCAACCACAGTGGGAGCCAACTGCCTCGCTGTCGAGACTGTCGTGCCACAACCGACGATCAAAATCCCCGTGACTGAAGAGGTCAAATACGAGTTTAACCAACAGAAGTTCGAGGAGTACGTCTCCTCCTCCTCCTCCAGATCCGCCTCTCCTCGCAAGTGTAGGAAGATCTCCTCCTTCCAGAAGATCCGCTGGTCTTCAGATTTGAAGATCCAAGAAAGCGATCTCCCTGTTACCACTGCTACAGTTATACCTCACAACGATCCGTCGGCGTCTGATGAAGCCAAAGTCGCAGATTCGGACACCACCTCCATTAAGGAGTTGGCTACTGAATGTGTGCCAACTTTATCGAAGAGGGCTCGTTAGAGGCGCCGCCAACGTCTCGCCCGTCAATTTGCTAAGGCTTTGGAGCAAATGGATGGGCTCCACTACCAAGCAGATCTGGAGTTCAGAAAGTACCAAGTGGCTAAGCCGCCACCACAATAAGCATCGGGGTCCTCCTCCCAACCGTCAACTGACAAATGGGTTCGTGTCAAACGAACTCGTTCTACTCTCGAGGAGCGCATCCAGAAACGCCGCGCACTTCTTGCACACGTCTGGATCCTTGTGCATAAAGCACAAGAATTATAAAAAAAATATGTTCAAAAGGCCACTAAGATCTAAGCAGGTTTGGGTGCCGAAGGCCAAATCAGCGCTTCTACTCAACAAGAGACACCAGTCGTGTCTCTCGTCCGATTCCCGATCCAAAGCTGGTTCCCAACTTTCATCAAGTTCAGATCTCACTCCTTCTAATCCCGCACCTCCGGTGAAGCTCCGCGACAATATGGACATATCCAAAGGCAAGAAAACAATAACGAACCGCCTAGGTCCTTTGCACGAAGATCGAGGGCAATGTTCCTGTTAGCGAACGCTTGGGCCCAATGAATGAACCCCGAATAACTCATCGAGCTGGGGGTCGCACGTGTTTTTATAATAATTTGAAAGTTTCCTATAATGGGAAAACCCCTATTACTAACCGCCTCGGACTACGTGTCGAAGTCCAAGAGCCCGTTGAGATCCCGCGCTTACAAAGGCGTAACTCCAAACATGTGACTCTTGAAAATGCTAACAAAATGTTATATCCCCAAAAGGAAACACATTCGTCTGACGATGATAACGTTATACCTGGGAAGTTATGCTAGCACACGATAGGCTACTCCGGCAATCATGCCGATGAGTTATACTATCGGGCAGGGGTACAAACAAATCTCGAAAGAGAAGTACCCGAGAAGCGGACTCTCACTGTCTGTGTACCAAAATTATCCGGATAGTATTATTAGAATGTAGCTACCCGAAGACCGCTCCACAGAGGGTCTCCGTATTCCAAAGGTTTCCCCCTGAAGCGTTGAAACCCAAGTCAATGTGTTTCTGTAAAAGAAAGTCAACCGATCAAGATAACGAATTCCCTGAAGTCACTATCAACATGGTCGACAAGAGAAATGCTGTGATTGCTACAAATGGTTTGAATCCCGACTTTTCTTCAGGAAAAGAAGTCAGTCTAGGAATAGCCCAACTAATTTCTCGGCTCCAGCTAGAAGCCGTCAGACATAGAGATCACCTGAAAATCTAGTGTGAGACAAGATCGGGAAGTGTTCATGATCAACACCGAGCAAGTGGCCAAAATCATTGAGGATGCTCTGGCTAAGCAAAAAGAGAACTTCAAGTTCGAATTGGAAATGACCATGATGCGGATGAAGGAAGGGCATGACCAACGAATCCAAGCTTTATTAGGTCAATCGGTGAATCCAGTCGTCACAACAATACCTACCGGGCAGGTGGCGATTCCGACACAGACGAACATCTCGATGCAGATAATCCTCCCGTTGACCAAAACGCTAGGGATGGTCCCACTAAAGATAACGACACTGGAGGTGGTGCCACCGAAGATGACAATGCCGGGGGTGGCTGCGTTGTTCTATTTAGAAATCATTCAAAGCCTGATGCAGACGAGGACGAAAAGATGAAAGACCTCAAGAGCAAAATCAACGCTCTGATGTCTGCTCAAGAGGTGAAGAAGACCGGTATTCCGTGTCCTTACCTAAAAGAGTAGGAATCAATTCCATATCCGGCTAAGTTCAACCTGATCAACTTCACGCCTTTTGACGGGAAGGGCTCGCCCACTCAGCATCTAA